CCGAGGCTATGTAAGAGCTTAAAACTTGCAAACCAATCGGAAAATGGCACAGTTATTCTAAAATTCATATGCTCAAAGGATTCAGAAGGCATGATACTGTCTCTATTAACGCAATATAATTATTACCAATCGCAAGAATTGCGATAAGAACAAAAATAGCGATTTATTGCAGTCTCTCTTTTTGTTTAATCTCTTTTGCTCCCTCTCCGCACAATGTTTTAGTTCAATTTTATTAGCATTGAATTTGAAAGTGAAAAAGTCTAAAATCATTTTTACATTTTCTGTGAGAACTGCACGGCAAAGTCACCGATTCAAATGAGCACATGTAGTTGCACGGTGATATAATTTATAAAAATTGTGGAGTGGTTTTTCAGAAGTGAATGAAATAATACCGAAGGAGATCGTCAAAAAGTTTTGTATGTTGGATAACTTGATGGGTGCAACACAGTAGTGTGCCTATAAAGAGAAGTGTTGAGATCCATCAGAATTTCTTAACTGTTATACGAATAGGATATTATTCTTTAATATTTCTGTCTCTGGAAAAAAATGCAGCGCATGTGACTTGTCTCCAATTAAATTTTTCGGATGCGTTAAGCTACTGATGTATGTCATCTCAGAGAAAAGTGAACTCCCGTATTATCTCTATCTTCGTTTTTCATGGGCTTGGAAATCGGCAAAGGTTAGAATGTGAGTGTGGTTTTACAGATCCGCAGAGAGCAATGCAAAAAAATGTCAAATCCCCTTCAAAAACAAACGATACGACAAGCATAACTCTTCAGCGCGTTGCCTTGCCAGCCGCAACTGAGTACGACTACGAACACACGCTTACGAGCACGACCTGCGGCGCGACTTTCAACTCTACCTCAATTGGATGCTTATTGGGAAAAATGAGTACATCTATTCCGAAAATCCATAGCAGATAGACTTATAGGCTGAACTATAGACTAAATAGCTAATACTGTACTAATAAGTAACTAGTAACTAATGGCTGCAGCCAAGAATTGCAGTCCCGGTAGACGAAATTCGGCAGAATATGCTGAATTTTCGGCAATACTGCCGCGGCCGCTAATTTCGGCTTCAACTGCGAATATTCTCGGGTAACGGATACTGCAGCAAAAAATTTTATCGCGCACTATACATTTTGAATGATCTGACCCAACGAAACAAATTCAAATTATTATCTACCCACCCTACCTGCCACACCATCATTTCGTTCACCTCCAGGCCTTAATTTGATCCACGGTAACAACTGTTGATCCGGCACTCTGTCGAGGGGCTTCCAAGGAACGGATTTCCGCAAAATTTTCCATCGAATCAATCGTAATCCCCTAAACCTATAAGAAAAGGATACGACCCGCACAACACATCCACCCGTCTCTAATTTTCTATCGAGACATACACGTTGTATGCAAATCGGAAACAAATTCGCTTCAAAGCACTTCAAAGCATGTTGTCTTCTTTCCATTATTGCCCTATTTTCAAGTAGCACCTCCCTCTTATTCTGCCGCAGTATGGAAGAACGCCGTAAGAACATTCGAGGGTAGCCAAATTTCCATCGATAAAATGTTCATTTTTTAGGAAAGTTATGAAAATTTTCCCTTGAAATTTTTAGGACTTTTCGGAAAAATTGCGAGCAAAATTATCTGGAAAATTGGAAGGAAAATATTCACAAGCTTACCAGGAAATTTGTGTTTTATCAAAGGAAACGTTGCAACGCCTAAAGGTTCATACGGCGTTCTTCCTCAGCAAGGCAGTATTGTCAATGAGCTTTCATTACCGAGCGTATTTGACCATATTTGGCATCCATCCTGACGTGCTAAGGAAAAACGACACGTAAACCTTTGGACGATGCAAAATTTCTCTCAATAAACCATAACATTTTATGAAAATGTTATGAATTTTTCTCTGTGAACTTTCCAGAGAATTTCATACATTACTCCACCTATCGTACCGGAAAATTTCAAAGAAAATCATCCGTAATACACCATATCAATAAATATTTAATCGAGGGCAATATGGTAACATTCGGATGCTTATACGGCGTTTTTACTCGGTGTGACAGCACCGTTTATAGCATCTGTCAGCAATGACAGATTCATACGGTAATACATCAATTTTTGTTGAAGCAATAAACACTAATCGCAAATCGGTTTTATCACGTTCTCTAAGGAAAAACGCCGAAACGTTCGAATGTTGCGAAATTTACTTTCAGAAAATATTTATTTCTGAGGAAAGGCATGAACATTTTCCCAGGAAATTGTTAGACACTACCTCAAATCACGAACACGATTCGTAATAATAAGACATTTGGAATAAAATGAGCTTGAATTTTCCCCAAAATTCGTGTTTCGTCTGCGGAAATTTGGCAACGTCTGAAGGTGCACAGGACGTTTTTACTTCGCACAGTAGCACTGGTCTGCTACGCGTTGTGTAAACAAGGACTGTGACCGTAGCATACGTCAATGCCATTGATTTACTAACTGTCACTCCCCACATGGATGCTCATATTCATTTTTAAAAATAACTTTTCTGATGCATGGCTCCTCGAGTCCTCGCTCATACACCACGCGTGATGTCACTTGTAAACTCTCCAGAATCCTCTCAGATATTGGAATGTCAACTCAACAAAAGTTCGACGTCACTCACGATCAGCAACAGGACTGCATTTGCAAAAATCTGTATTTTGTAGCAGAAACTTCCAAACCACGTATCTCGCTCCCGTCATACTTCATTTTTTGGATGAAGAACTACTCAACGTCGGTTCTTGAACACTTCCCTGATTTTGTCTCCTCTATGCGAAACGAATTTTGAGAAAAGTTCGAGAAATAATGTTCATTCCTCATTGAAAAACAAAATAGGAACGCTCGTTTTTAAACACCGCAAACGAGAAACGAGATACGTTGTTAAGGTGTTCCAATATTAAAGACACTCATACATTTTAAAAAGCCCACTCTTGAAAATTCTGAAAGACACTCCTAAGATGCCATGGTCTTATACTAGACCTTAAAATAATCACAATATATGGACGTATTTCTACCAAACAGACCTATGTGGAGGTGAGAAATATGGGATGTGCTCCAGAAATCTGCATAAGAAGCAATGTAAAAGTGGGCGTGATTCCTTTAGAAGAATTGGAAAAGCGGGATTTTAAAAACATTCTATCAAACAGACATATGTGCCAACTGAATGCGGAACTCATGAGCCGCGGACATGGCAAGAGAGCGTTGTGGACAGGGCTCATGAGTTAATGCCCCCGACGACGATCTCCCCCTCGCTCTGGGGCTCGATCATTGCCGCTGACGTCACTGGCGCTTTAATATTCTCATTCACTCTTACGGCCAGAGAACTAACGAGCATACCCCATATTTCTCACCTCCTCATAGGTCTGTTTGATAGAAATACGTCCATATAATTACGTAAGCCCAATACTTCGGGTCAAAAATTAGCGGGGACCGCCTGGGCCAATCCGGGCGCGGGTCCGTCTTAACCGGCTTAACTGTCCCGAAAAATACCACTATATGTCTCCACTGGCCGGAAAAATAGAGGGACCCCGTGCTCCTTACACCCTTTGAAAGATCGGTCATCCCGTTCGTCCCAGCAGGAGATGCGCAATTTCTCGTTAATTCCGGGCGATTTTTTTTCGGTCAGCTGATAATGCGGCTGCCCGAGGCGTTTGTAGTCATGGAAATCCAATGGTCTGTTCAACCTAATAAAGCGAACGTAGAGCAATTTCCTAACTTTTCTCAGATAACATATTTTATCGGGAGAAACGAGGCAACGTTGGAATGCCCGTTCGGCGTCGAAACACAAAATGGGTCTGTAAGCCCCATTGTTCAAAGCCGCGATTATCCTAACGCGTGTTCGAATGATCGCGGAGAACACGGTACCGGGTGCGGTCGGCGTCGAACTCATATCAGCGCCTGCAAGACTGCTGGAATACTTCTCGCATTGCGCCAAAGAGTGCGGTCGGCTTCGAGCGATTATTAGCGCCTACAAGACTGCCTGAATACTTCTCGCATTTCACCAAACGTAAAACGAGAGTTATTTGCGATAACTACTCGACTACGGGTATAGGCACATTGCCGCTAGCCGGATTGAAGGTGCATCACTAAGAAGATGACTCGACACTCGACCGCGCTCCCTTCCCTGCGGCTTGCTCGACGCTAAAATCGCCGCAAAACTAGGACCAAGTTTCATCTCTTATGACGGTCCCTGCCCGGTTTTTACCACAATTAAAGGGTAAATATGTACCTTGATTGAAAGGATTCGGAAACTCGGACGATGTTTAAACGATGCAGGGATTCTGAGACTTGATGCGCGTAAAATTAATTTTGGATATTAATTAAAAAAAGAATAAGAATAATGAAAAAAACCGAACTAAAACAGAAAATATTGCGTCGACATTTTCGACGCTTATATTTGAGATCATTTAGAGAACTGCAGGGAGACTCTTCCAAAAAACTGTTTGTCAGCTTTTTTAAAAACGGTGATCAAAAATAGAACATAAGAAGTGGCTCATAACGTTGCGTTCAGAGATAAATACGCTTTCTTTCGCGTGCACCCGTCGGCTTTTGAATCCATTTACCTCTGATTTAACTTGAACATGGTTGTTCTACGACTTTTTATGTGTAGTTTTTTTTTTCTTTTTTTTTCACGGGTTGTGACCAGGTATGGGTAGGTATTAGATAGATCGGGTCTAGATTTTTAATCTTTACCCCACTTCTGAGGGACCTCTCATTGGCAGCATTGCAAGTTCACGCCTCAAGCCTTCGCGCCTTCAGTTTTGCAGACGCAACATGGACATCCATTAAGTACGAATAGTTGTATCTCTGCGCCGTCATCAACGCGGGTCCTTTCCTTTGCTCTAGTTCTAGTTCCAGTTTTTTCATCGTGTTTGACTGTTTGTTCTGTTACAACTGATCTTTACGTGCAAATTATTTATGATATGATGTAATAATTTTGTTTTATTGGTTTAGAACTGCGAAGCTAAAATAATAGGGCTGACGGATTAAACGTGACTATTGCAACATTGCTGTGTTTATTTACGTTACATTCAAATTTTGGCGCACAGCAGAAATCAATTTCCTGCGCAGTGCACTATCGCTATTCAGCACATTTTTTGGTTTTTAACATTAAATTCCAGTGTAATATACCTTCTACAGTTTAATAAAGTCAGCCTTCATAAAGTAAAATCATAACTACTATAGTCTGATCTACTTAGATCTTTCCAGAAGTTTTTATCCGAATGTGCCACTTACTTACGTAGGAAGTTTGAAATTTCAAGGTTAACTGACTAATCACATTTCCTACTCATGCTAAAATTGTGTTGTGTAAGTGCGGTAAAAATTGTCTGAAATTTTTGAAAGAATTTGTGGAACTCTGGTTGTATGCACGTTTTCTCTGTTTATACACACGATGATTTTTTGATGAGCAATTCACCATGAGTGCAATACCTATGGTTTGTAAATTTGTTTTTCTTAAATTTGAGGTTATGTACCACTATTTATGCATTTTTTTTCTACTACATTTTTAGGTCCACGGGTGCATATTTTCAAGTAGCTGTAGCTGTCCACTGTCGTAACGTTTTATCAGTTTTTGACACTTAATGTGCTTAATTTGGGTGAATTATATCTGTTGAGTATCGCCGATGTTTATACTCGTACCTATCGTTCTGATGGATTGGATTTATTCCACATTTGTCGATTTGGCAAAATATTTTGGCTGTCAAGTAAGTAAGTACTGCAGGAATTTTGCTTTTGAAACAGTTGCACCAAGTGTCCTGCTTGCACTTACCCTTTCAAATGGCTTAAGCTGGGAAATAGTGCTGTGGCATGGGACTCCTCCGATGGAACGCACATCATGCAGGTGTTTACATGGTTTTTCAACTCTTAGGGCTTCTGCCAATGTATTGAACTCTAGTTATCACAAGGGAAGGAAAATGCATAGTATAGAGGTCATCTCCCAGTCCCTATTCCATCACGTTTCGCATTTTGTCCTAGAATTCGCGCATCGTATGTTGAGATAAATGTCAAAAGTATTCTTTATGTCACTACTTACCGTTGGTGTTATCTAACTGCATGTATTAACCTATTGATTGGTGCTAATTCAAAAGTAATCAGAGATTGACATCTGTCTCATTATATGAAGCGTGTCCTCTAGAGCCATTGTACATTTAATGTAATGGTTTGTGACCCACTGGGCTTTCCTTGGAACTGCTAATACGGTCTCTTGATTTCCATTTATTATTCCAATCATGCTAGCATCCTTTTCAACCAATATAGGTCTGGTATCATACTCTACTAATGTATTTAATGGTGCATTCTTCCCCTGCTCCAAAATCCATTGATTTAATACCTAGAGGCATGTCAGTTGATCGCAGGTTTAACAGAAATCTGACTAAGTAACTGCATTCAACGTTGTCCAAGTTTCCTCCATGTTTTATTTTTTACTAAAAACTTACACTTCTGCACCCTTGACAACATGTTTTGTGCTAGAAATGCATATAATGCAGGACCAATTCCTTTATCCCTTCCAGTAAGGAACAACCCCATATTTTGGACCATCAGCAAACGCCTTTGACGAACCTCATCTTATCAAAATCCTGTCTTTCTTGTTAAAGGCAGAATACGTCCAGCCAGATCAAATCATCTCAGCTCCAGTTAAAAGAAAAATTTTACCTTATATTTCCTCCAGCATATGACTTCCCAACCGATCTCATTGTCCGTTCACAAGAAATTTGGCCCTTTAATCTCCTTTCCCTTGCAGTTTTTTCAGTGGGTAAATCATTATGAGTATTCATTCTTTATGGACAACTTTTAAGATAATTCAAATTCAAATTTTTGTAGCAGTCTTCCTTTCTTGATCTATTCATTCAAATGTGATGTGGTTTTTGTTTCTTTCTCTATCATTTGATTTTTTTGTGAGGAATAAGATATGACCTCAACAAATTCTTCTACAAAATGCTTCTTATCTTAGTACACGACCATCTACAGGAAAAGTGATTATACTTGCTGCACAGAAGTAAATTTTTCTCAAGGACAGAAATGGTCCAGTTGGGTCAAAAAAATAGAATCTCAGAATTTTTAGCCCTGAAAAATTTCATATTATCAAAATGTTTTATTTTAAGCTACAAAATTTAACCTGCATGACTTAAGTAAGATTGATGTGATATCAGGTCTCTTCAAAGTCAAAGTGAGCATAAGGTTTTCCTCCAAATAGTGATAGCAATATCTCAGTTCCATATTTAGCAGGGGTTTTTTTTTTTTTTTTCCACTGAAAGAAAGGGAGAAAATTTTGTGGAAAAATATAGAACCATCACCATTTTCATTTTTACCGTAACTTGGTTTTAAAATACTTAGGTAATTGAAATGTCTCTAATTAACAAAATACTCCTTTTGTATAACAGATTTCGGAGGACCAGACTATTGAAAGTCATGAGGAGAGTCCCACGGGCACTCACCCTCAAGACGTGGACATCGTGGACTCGGAAGAATGCCTGACACTCAAATATTCACCTCCTGCAGTGGACACTATTATGATGTACTGTTGGGGTAACACAAGCAATGGTGAACTGGGTTTGGGAGGAATCGAAGAAGACAATGTTCTGGTACCCACGCAGTCTGATTTCAAGGAAGCACGCTATATCAAACAAGGTAGGTATTGCAGAAAAATTTCCATGAGAAGAGGAACCTCAATGGCGGAAAATGCATGACTAAGATTGTTGTACCCTTGCAAAGAGAAGTGTTTTACTAATATCCTGGAATGTAAAACACTTAACATCATCAAGCCAAACCAGAGCTATGATTTTTTTAAGTTCTGTTGTTCCAAAATTTAGTTTAAAATTAATCAATACTTTTTATGTTGAGGACTTTAATTTTTTCCATTTAATTTGCAACTATTCACCTGCTTTTGATAAAAAAAATTATCTCAACTGCTGGAAAATCATTCTTTTTTCTCAAAATTGCCATGTTGACAAGCCGATACTCTTATCGAAGGCATATATTAATGATCCGGAAATTCAAATGATCTTCTCTGTTTCAGTTGCTTGTGGAAGAACTCATACGCTAGTTCTTACCAATTCAGGACAAGTTTACTCGTGTGGTAACAATGACCATAACCAACTAGGCCATTCAAACATTCAAACCCGTTTTCGTAAGTTTTGTACTCTAATAAATAAAAAATGAACAGCGCCAATAACTACCGGTTTGTTGGTGCCAAAGTAAATAAAAGGGTTATAAAATGTATCAAAGTATACTTTGGAGAAAATCTTAAATTTATTTTACTGTAGAATTGATGATGGAATCGAAGATAACAGAGTTGCATCAGTATTGAAAAACCTAATCATGAAGATGCCGTACAATTGTTAGTTGGTGAGATTCCAAGCTTTCTGAATGAGCAATGAAAGTAAACTCTAAAAGCTTTTGCGATTTAAGTTAAAATGGTAAATGATTCCTCCCTCTTGGAAAGGTTTGAAGCACACTTGCCAGCATTGTTCGCATTTCAAGAAACCAAAATGTTTGAAGTTGAATCAGGCTAAAAATAAATTGTTTAACAATCACTATCGGAAAAATGCATGAGCAAAATCTTGTTGGAGGATTAGCGTATATTTAGTGTCTACCTGTGCAATCTCCTCTTTTCACTCAACATCGTAGCAGTTAGAAAAGCAGAAACTCTAAAAAATTCAAAAATGAATGCAAGATGTGCATCACTCATAGTTTTTCTCTTAATGTCTTCTCAATATTTTTAAAACTCTGTGGGTTATGTTTTCAGAACTTGTCAATGGTTTAGATTACAATGTAATAACAACTATAGCTTGTGGTGAATGCCACTCTGTTGCGGTCAATGAATGGGGACAGCTGTACGCTTGGGGATCAGGTCAATTTGGTCAGTTAGGTAAGGTGATATCTATTTTTCTTTGCAAATTGTGTAGCTAAGTCTCAAGTTTCTCAGTTAACTTTGTCATATTTTTCAGTTATCTCTTGAACTGCATAGGAAAAAGATGTGTTCAGTTTCAGTTAATTTTAAGGTTAGAGATCAGTTCTCAACCCCTGCAAGATAATTTTCTCTTTTTAAGGTTTGATTCACCTACGTGAAAAAAAATCTGTATGTATGACACTTCTGAGCCACAGTTTTCCGATGTATCCTAAGATAAGATGTTTGCCAGTGTCCATTGAACTTTTCGTTCAGCTCTCTCATATAGATCAGTGGGACGATTATTGAAATGCTTTATTTTCTCTAAAATACTCAGCAATTGTTATTAATTTGTTCTAGGTAATGATGTTGATACTCAGGAAAAACCTAAGATTGTCAAATCTTTAGCCACTCATTTTATCGTTCAAGTTTGTTGTGGTTACCGACATTGCTTAGCATTGAATAATAGTAAGTGCATCTACGTATTAAAATTTTTGGTAAAGGTAAAACAGTTTATTTTTCTTCATATAGTAACTTTTAGAAGCTATTTGACCTCTCAGAAAATGCTCAAGAGATAGAAAAGAGAGGAGAGGTATTTTTTTTTATATTTTTTGTTCAAAAGTTTGTATAGAAGATTTACAAACAAATCATCATTCAACAACAAAGTTCCATTCGGCCTTAACTTTGTTAACTTACTGTTTTCACAGTTGCTTCAATGACTCATAATTGGTCTGATTTGACCCGAAATAGTGTAATCACACCTGACGTTGCCTTACCTCCTCTCAACTTTCATGTTTCTTTTATGTAGCAAAAACCTGAACAATATTCTGCTTCGATTTCATGTGTTAAGTCTTCATTATGTAAGGTAAATTCCTTGAGAGTTTGAAGGTCTCATTTTACCTCCTCTTGTAAAAATATGAAATAGAGAAAATTGGACTAAATTTTGCTACTAGGAAATACAATTTCTGGTTTATCCATAAAAACACATTTGTTCTCAGGAATACTAATGATGCATACACAGTTCTCAAACTTAGCCAGAAATTTTAGTTCCTAATTGCAAAATTAAGTCCAATTGGGCCCTATGAAATGCAGTCGGGTAGATCCTGGTTCAATCCGTCCAGTTTATTTGAACTACAGTTTAGCTATCAGAAACTACACTTTATGACCCATCCGTAAAAGCACTTTTGTACATAGGGAAACCAATGATACATACATTGTTCATAAACTGAGCCAGAAATTTCGGTTCCTAATTGCAAAATGAAGTCCATTTTGAAAAGCTTATCAAAAAAATATGCAAGATCATTTCCTGATGTACTGAAATGGTTTTCTTGTTGTTTTCTAGGAGGTGAACTTTATTCTTGGGGTTCAAATCAGTACGGACAATTAGGTCTCAATTTATCTACAACTGAAAGTATACGAACTCCAAATCTAGTTGAATCTTTGAAAGGTGTACCCATCGCATTCATTGCTTGTGGAGGTTTTCATAGTTTTGCAATAACTAAGTCAAGTAAGTGAAAGCCTATTTATTCTATATTACTCTTGTTAAATTATGTTGTAATTCAACTGCCACTTGAGAAGTATTCGCAAAGTTTTTTGGCTTAAATGGCAGACTATTGTATTTTTTATCAATCATAGCAAATTTGGTGAAATGCTATTCTGCAAGAACAGAATGGAATTGCTAAGAAAGTAGGCTGTGTTGCCTTTTGAATGTTACTAATTTTCCCTTTGTAAAAAATGTGTTTTTCAAGAAAGTAATTCTTTTTTTCCTCAAAATTTGCAGATATTTTAAATTAGATTGCAAACAAAATGTCTAAAAAATTAGAAGAAAAATATCCACAACTTTCTCAATAAATTTGTACTCTATCAAATAAAATTTGACAACGCCTAAAGGTTCATACAGCAGTTTCCTTAGCACAGCAGTATTGAACTCAAAACCATTACAGATCACTGTAAAAAACCTACGATTTTCCCCTTTTGTTATTTTTCTTACGTAGTACTCCATCAGTTTGTTCCTGTGTTCAAATTTTAAATTTATTTTCAGTAATTTTCATATTTTTTTATGCTGACCAAATATTTTATAAGAAGCTATTTTAAACTGCTCTATAAAATGTGTGTACTGCCCAAAAAATCAAGTAAACTTTTTTATAGTCAAAGGTCAAATTGTCAATTTTTTTTTTCTTATGGAATTTCAAGATAATCAGGAGTCATAAGTGTCTTCTGTTAAATTCAATTCTGGTTTTCAAGTAGGTAGATTACCAGTTATCTGTTTTAAAATTGAAGCAAAAAACAGAACCATAAGAGAACTTCAACCAATAAAATATTTTCACAATTTTCTCATACATTTTTGAGTGATGAACGATCAAGACAAGACACAATTCTACATATTTTACATTAATATCTTTATTTTCAGATGCGGTCTATGGCTGGGGGAAAAACACTTTCGGTCAGTTAGGTATTGATAGTGAGTCAGATCGATTAATTTTTCCCAGACAGTTGAGAACATTGCGTTCAATTAAAGTCAAATACATAGCTTGCGGTGAAGAGTTCTCTGTGTTTCTAACCCAGGTAATTAATTTTAAATCCTTAAGTTGCGTTTTTTCTTGAACATCTAGGTTGAAAATATGGATCGTTCATCTCTAAGTAAATGCATCAATGCTGAAAAACTAAAATATCACAAAACATGTCAAACAAAGAAATTCGAAGAAAATCTTCACAAGGTGAAAATTTTCCTAAAACATTTTTGTTCAGTCACACTGTAATACCACTGAACACACAAACTTTCAAGGACTCAACGGACTCACTCCTAGTATCGCAACTAGGGACAGAAAACTCAGCAGCCACCAAAAAATCGCCTGGAAACTATTGAGTGTGTACTCCCTCATAATGTATAGATAATATATCGACAGTAAAACTACCAAACCACGTATCTCGGTTTGCGACGTCGCAGACTTCCTGTCATACTTTATTTTTTAAATGAAAAACTACTTAACGTCCAGTCTTGAAAATTTCTGTGATTTTTCCTCTTCATGCGGAGAAAATTCTGTGAAAATTTCAAGGAATGATAGTGATTAAATCTACTTCAAAAAAATAAAATGCGAGCGTAGATTTTTGAACACCGCAAACGAGATACGTGGTTTGGTAGTTTCACCGTCGATATATAGATAGATAATTTTAAAAAATGTCACCAGGGGATCATGGTTCTAACTGCACACTAAGCTGAATCCTTTCATCTGCTGCTTTCACATTAATGTGAATACTTTAATTTGCTGCTTACTTTCTTTCTTTATTTTTATTTTTATTTTTTTTTACTATCATATTTATTTGATTGAAGCCCCCATGTCTACTTATTTATTTATTTTGTCAAGGATGGCGGTGTATTTACTTGTGGATCTGGAATGGATGGTCAGCTTGGACACGGAACGAAATCCAATGAAATTCTTCCAAAAAAAGTAATAGATCTAATGGGTAGCGTTGTAACCCAAGTGAGCTGTGGAAGGTACATACCCTAATTTATTATCCTCGTCACATTAGAAATCAACTTTATTTATTATAAATGATTATAATAATTTGTAGCATTATTTGGTCAAATTATTATCAATTATCCTAGGATTAAAAGGAGCAGTTTTAGGAGACATCTGCTCAATCATCAACCAAATAAATTGGATTTATCTGTTTGCTTCTATTGAAGACCTTGGTGACTTACCATGGGTCTGAATGAATAGAATACGTAATGATATCACGTTTCAAGTTGTATACCATTGAAATTTTAATTATCATTGAACCGATCAACTTTGGATCACAGAATTTTACCAAAAAAATGAAGAAACTGAATTATCATATGATTTTAATCACAACATCCATTTTGATGAAAATAGTGAAAGCTGGTACTTATATTATATTTTAAATACAGGATTATGATAAAATGGACGGCTTGCCTTAAAGATGGACACAGCTGGTTTTCAATCCTCAGGAGACCATTGGTTTATTTGATTAAAGGTTAGACTTACTGAGCTTGATTAGTGGAAGAGTAATTAGAGGACGCTTGATCCAAGAATGAACCTCACACTAATGATTTTTTTACAAGATAATGGGTCTCTGCCTGTCCTTTATGTATTTTGTCTTTCAATTCTAGACGGCATACTGTTGCTCTGGTCCCATCTCGAAAACGCATTTATGCATTTGGTCTCGGTGGAGCTGGTCAATTAGGCAAAGCTATTAAGTCTGCTACCTCTCCGCAAGTAGTTACTGGTCCTTGGTTGACAACCTCCAAAGCTATAATACAAAATAGCGAGTCATTCGTTATGAAGCGCATTTATGCAGGAGGCGATCGTTGTTTCTGCCTAGTCACGAATAATCCTGTGAGTACTTTTGCTTCAACTTTATTTTCTCTTTAATGAACCATGTCTTTGGCAAGATGGAATTAAAATAAACTTCTATCTTAATTTACAACATTGTAAGGGACCTTACCCAAAATTGACTCTTTTTCAACTTCAGCCAAATTTTCAACATTTTTATTCTAAATTATGTACTCAAAATATGTATCAGTAATTCATTGCGTTTGTTACTATTAACAAACTAAATGCATTTGACCATCAAAAAGTAATCTTGTCAATGAGTAGTTGAAACTCGATGTAAAAATCTACCAGCTGCTTTGGTATAAGTAGATCTTCTGTTTAGATGTAGTTTGTTTGTTATTGTAAAACTTTTCCAAATGCTTGAGACCTTCTTGTTTTTTTAAAGACAAGGTCATAAAATTATTGCCAGAAGCATAGCGGCTATTTATTGTAACATAAAAGCTCCATATCAAGTCAATAAGTGATGAGTCTAACTTGGCTTAATTTTGATTTTTCCCGATTTGGACAGCTTGAAAATTGTGACAATGAAGAAAAAAGGCAGATAGTGTTTTTTTAGAATTTCATTTCCTGAAAAAGAAAGTCCTTTCTCCTCAGCAAGACTAAATCTTAGCTTTTATTCTTAAATTAACAGACAAATGTTCACTCTTCAACCATTGCTTCTTTTTTCCTCACAGAGAAATGTTGAGCCTGATGACTTACGGTTCCTTCCAGAAAACACTCAAATTTGGAAAATTACGCTAGCGAAGTTACTTGAATGCACGCTCGTGAAATCTGATGAAATTGTTGATCAAGATTTACTAACGTATGCTCTTATTTTAATTTTGTTGTCTCTATTTTCTTTTTTACTCCTCTCTTTAATTACTTTCGTACGTATTGAAGCAGTTTCTTTAGAGACATGAAAGAAGATCCGAGGTTGCAGATACTGGATAGTGACATATGCACACCTTCTATCCGCTTTTTTCCTCTTCAACACTCTGTTGGTAAAAAGTAAAAACTTCTATTTTTTTGAAGGTCCCTTTTTAAAATGTTTTCCCTTTAACCTTTAAAAACTACTACCCACATCTTTTAAATATATACTCATTATTTCTAATTATATTCACAAGTTCTCCAACAAAAAATAGATTTTCCTTATCTTTACCAACAGAAATAAAATTGAAGGATCTAACCCATGAGAATGGTTTAAAAGTCTCCTGGCAAAAGTAAGATGTAAAGCAACTTTTTACTCTATTTTAATTTTAAGTTTTTTTGCTGTCCGGGAAACCAAAATTTGTCTTCTAAAATTCTGCATTTTTACAACAGGTACCTGGAAACCGTTTTAAGCAGTATGCCAAGTATAAATTATTCCTTTTTGTTGGCGAATGATGGACATTTCAACTGCACTTTGTTAAACCATGGCATTGATATATTTTACACGATTGACTGTTTCAATACAATCACTAGGATAGAGAATTCTTCCATATCTGAATTGGTAAGTTTTGGAGATTCTCTGTCAGTGTTGAATTTTTAAACAATTTTAAATTTTTAAAAAATAGACTAGGTGAAGTAACTGGCCATTCCAGTTAGACCTTGATTTATCAGATTTCAAGAGACTGGCGAATCCAATAGTTAAACTGCAGAATCTGGTGGTTCTAATCAATATTACCGCTATCAAATTGTGGTAATTACCGCTACCAACTTGTTTAAATAAAGATTCTAATTAGCTTGAAGCCCTTGAAGGGACTGGAAGATGGCGTTAAAGTGCGAAATCTGATAAATTGAGGTCTTACTGTAATCACTTGTTCTGTGAAAGGGCTGTTAACATCTCCCACTATCTACGTTACATAATCATCGTTTTATGTATCATCATCTAGGAGCTGATTCCCTCTTTTGACTTTAGCCTCAGTTGTCTAATTCTGAAAAAAAAAATATACTTCACATAAAAAAAGATGAAAAATTCCAATTGGTTCGTCTAAAAATTGAGCTGTAATTGTGAATTAAATTCCAAAATAAAAACGTTTCAGCTCCATATAGATTATTTCTCCATGATACGTACTGGTATTTCATTGCCCCACAAGATCAAGGGCATTCCAAAAAAAAAAAAAAAAAAAATTCTGGA